GGGAAAGAGGAGGTCCCTGGAAGGAAGGTGCTCACGTATATTTTTTCAGTTCCTCTAAAAGTGCTCATGTACGTTTTTCAGTTCCTCTAAAAGTGTTCATGTACGTTTTTCAGTTCCTCTAAAAGAGATAGAATATGAAGGCTGCATTCCTTTCAGAGATGTCACCAGAAAGTGGTTGGTCTAAAGGAAAATGGGTTAGGAATATGTGACTAGCATTTCTGTCTTGGTTTGTCATGTCCCAGGCGATCATCGTATGTTCAATGGTGTTCTGCTTTTCTAGTCTGGCAAAGTGTTTGTAGTGTTGTATTGAATTTCCTGCTCTAACACTAATTCCTGAAATAATTCTCAGCAACTCAGTTACAGCCTCTGCACCTGAGTTTATCTGCAAGGTGGAAGGAGACTGCTTCTTGCCTTGTGTCTACTGGGAGAGAGTTGGGGGACCATGTTTGGTCAATTTTAGACCTTTTAGGACTTGTAAGGAAACTCTCTTTACATTGATTTACTTTTGTGCTGCAACAGTATCTTTCAGCTGCTGGGGAATCAGCTTGTAGAAGAGGTGAGCTTTAGGCCTCCCTCCTGTCTCCTCCATACTGATGACTGCAGCTTTGTTGATTGGCTTCAGACAGTGTCATGGCCTTTCTCTCCTGTCTGCCCAGGTGTACTCCGGTTGTGGCATTGTGTACTGCAGGATGAGGGACGTGTGTGACCAGCTGGCTATTGAATTGAGCTACCGAGGAGTGAAAGCCAAGGCCTATCACGCAGGTACTGGAAGCTGCATCTCTCAGTAGCTGGTAGAACTGAACTGTACCACCTTTAAGACCTGGGTTGGGGCTACCTAGGAAACAGCTGTCTAGGCATGGTCTGCAATGTGTCTGATACTCACATGTCAGCTCTGTGAGGTAAGTGTGGGGCCTTCAACAGAACGGCATTCTCTTCACTCCAGACGTGTTGGGTTTGTTGGATCTTGCATAGCCTAAATGTAACAACTGCTTTTATCCCAGGAGGGATCTGAATTTTTCTCTTTGGAATAGAAACAGCTGCTGCTCACTTCCTCTTGATCACAGGGCAGTTTAAATGTGGGCAGAGAGGAGTGTGTACATGAGTCAGTTTTAGTGAGGGGGGTGGCTCACAGTGGGGAAATGGAGCAGGAAGAAAATCCTCTTGTTTCTTTCTTTTTTTTTTTTTCTTTTTACTTTTTGTTGTTGTTTCCTTCCCTGTTTTTCCTTTCCCCAGGACTCAAGGCAGCTGAAAGGACTTCAGTCCAGAATGAATGGATGGAGGAGAAGATCCCTGTTATTGTTGCAACCATCAGTTTTGGAATGGGAGTAGACAAAGCAAATGTCAGGTGTGTGAGGCTGTGTTGTGCGCTGCTAGAGACTGAAACCTGAGCAGTGGGAAGGGAAAGCCTCAGTCTCTCTGTTACCTGGTACATCTGACTCAAATGCCTGATAAACACTTACTAAAACCCACAAAAACAGAGCTGGAGGTTTTTTATCTTAGAAGCAGCAAAAACAAACCTGGAAGGGGTTTGTAAAGAAATTAAAAACAAGGCACCAGAGCTCCTCTTTGCCAGTCATCTTCAAAACGAAGGAAACTGGAGGAATGTTTGCTTTTGCCACACCCTCCAGGGTGTCAAAAAGAGCCATCTCAATGCAATCACAGCTGTCCCTTTCACTTCTCTTAGTGCAATAGTTGCTGTTAAAAAGCAGTGGGGAAAAAAATCTGCACCTAAAATAATTCATACACCCTCTATTAAAATAGTCAGCTTTTTTTAGAGATCTCCTTTTGCAATGCAATGGGGAAAAAAATAGCAGTTCACAAATAGCGATAATCATATAGAAAATGTAGCTCTAGTCCAAGGACAGAAACTTTGCACAAGTTTTCAATTGCTGTTCCTCTGGGACTTCTAACTGTCACCATAACTGCTCTGTGTTGTTAGAACTCCTGCACCACAATATAGCTGTGCTGAGTGAGTATTGTGAGCTATGATCACTTAGTAGAGGGATAACTCTGGTGCAGCTCACACCACACTCCACACAGACCTGATCCTTCTTTCAGTGTCACTGTGCTGACAGATAACAGGATCCCGTAGCAATGACAGATTATGTTACTGCTTGATGCAAGTTACCCAACAGAAATGAGAAGTCTTCTAGGGTAGCAGTGTGAATTAATGACCTGCTGAAACCTCTCTGCCCTGTTCAGGAGAGTGGTCATTAAAAAGGGCAAAGAGTAACTGAAATGCATAGGGCTGAATGAGTGAAATGTAGTTGAAACATGCTTGTAATCTGGTTAGTTTCCAAGGAATGGAGTTAAAATGACTCTTTACAGGATGTTTTTAAATAGTTTAAAGGACATTATACTCAAGCTCAGGCAACAAGGCACTGCTGCTTAGCCCTTGCTCTATGTTGGCAGAGTTCTGAGTATTCATGCATATGTTATCAAGTAGATCAGGTCTGACAAGTTTTGGAGGTGACTCTTCTGGACAAAAGGAAAAACAGAGGTGGTGTCTCTTCTTCTGATGAAATCTATTCCTCTCTTCACTGCTAATTCAGTTTTGCTTGAGATTATTTACCAGTTTCTTCAGTAAGCTTCCTGATGGGCAATAAATGTGTAGGGCTCTGATGCTTCCTGCCCGGCCAGTTCCTGGAGTGTTTGTGTTTGAAGAAATATGTTTGCTTGCTTTTGTTATTTAATCTTTTGCCACACCCATATGCATCATACCTCTGGGATGTGCTGGTTTTGAGGTAGACTGGTATTCAAAATGTTGGCAGTGTTAGAGTACTGTAAAATCTTCTCAACACAGGTATAAGCTGAATTGCTGAATATTCAGGTACAATCAGGGTTAAAGCAGTCTTGCAGTGGTGTATTGAAAACCTTCCTTCAGAGATTACATACAGTTTAGTCATGATTCCTAGTCATATTTGCTGGCTGGGAAGGGTGCCCTAATCTACAAGTGAGCTTGGTGAGAGAGAATTTCCCATGCAGACTTTGTTGGAAAAGAAGTGTCTCTCTTAAATTGAGTATTTCAAATCGTGTTCTGTAATGGTCAAACTGCGTTCCACAAAATAAATAGGACTTTTTTATTAATGCTGTGTGTTATGGCAAAATCTCCCAAACTCCTTAAATCAATGTCCTTATTCTCACTCTTCATAGCTGTGCAGTGGTATGCACGTTTGGGATATTCATGTGCTCATTCTTTTCCATCCATTTGGAGTGACATCCTGCTCATGTGTTGTTCAGGTGCATTTGTTTTCTTATAGCTCTGCTGCTTTCCTTGTGTCTCATGTGTTAAAAGGACTTAAATTTCTGCATGCAAAATATCTTGCTCTGCTAAATCCTCTGTCTTTTATGCTTTTGCTGCCCTATTTTTTACTGTTGTTGATGTCCACAAACACCACAATCATGTATGCAGTGATCTGAGAAACCTGCAGCCTTGTGTTTCCTCTTGTCTTATCGCATGCAGATTTGTTGCCCATTGGAATATTGCTAAGTCAATGGCTGGATATTACCAAGAATCTGGCAGAGCTGGGAGAGATGGGAAGCCATCCTGCTGCCGCCTTTATTACTCGAGGAATGACCGGGATCAAGTCAGCTTCCTGATTAAGAAGGAGCTCTCTAACATCCAAGTAAGATCTGCAGAATAGTATCCATCTGCCTAGATGTGCTGCTTTTGCTCTGATCTGATTTGCCTCTCACCTGCAGTGACCTCTGAATATGCAAAGATGAAATGAGTTTTTCTGGGTCCAGAGCTGTCTGTCACCCTGTTTCAGACAGAAGGGTGACAGACAGCACCTTTTAGCAGAAGGGAAAGGACTGCCAGACCCAACTCTGGCTCTATTAGAGAGACATGGGTGAAGTGTGGAGCAGACAGCGTGGTGTCTGTACCTGTTTGCCGTATTGATCAGAAGGGTTGGATTTGGTCATCAATAGAATTACTTTATCTGATTATATTTAAATTGAAGAGTATAGTTATTGTCTCCATCTACTTTCAGGAAAAAAAAGGCACCTTAAAAGAATCTGACAAAGCTGTGATGACAGCTTTTGATGCCATTGTGAACTTCTGCGAGGAGCTGGGGTGAGTACTCTTCTTTCAAACACTGTTTAATGTTGGGGAAACCGTGCCCTATCCCTCCTGAGGCAGCGTTGTGGCTGAGATCTTGCATGTCCAGGAAAAAGAAAATCCTGAATCTGATATTTTGCTGTCTGGACTGAGGAAGGTGTCCCTGAGACATCTCTCTAACTCCCACCTCTGAGTTAACTGAGATGTTGGTATTGCAGCCTGACCAAGTGACATAGTGATGTTACACTGTAAGTCCGCTGGCTATGTTCTATCTTTGATTGGTTGACTTAGTTATATTTGCCTTTGTTTTGACTCTTTCCTCCTTTCTACATCGTCTCGCTTCTAAGGAGACAGACAGACAGCCTAATCAGCATGAGATAGAAGCATTTAGATGTAATGTCTCTCTCAGTCTCAGGGGCTCCACTCTGCAAAGTCTGAGGTATCCATGATTCTCATTGACCTGAGGAGCTAACGGTGCTTAGAATGTTTCAGAAACGGGCCTGAATTATGGACATGCCCAATCTAAATGCAGACTAGCAACTGCAACATGCATTGTTCAGGTTTAGTTCATGACTTGTAAGCTGTAATTGTACTAATTGTTATTCTATGCTGGATAAGACATCAAAGCTATAATTTTGCCAGTACAAGAGCAGTATGTGTTTACTAACTGGAAATGGTCAACCTGTGTCTTGCTTTCAAGTTTGCACTTTGTTTCATTTTTCACCTGTGTCTAGGGCAGCATTTTCAACATGAAATGTAACACATGCTTCTTTTCTGATGCGGTGGTGAGCTTGTTCCCTCCTCCTGGTCATGTTTGGTAAACAAATTCTGCTTTTATGGGGTTGCTCTGGGAAAGTCTTGCTTGTACTGAAGTATGGCACAACATTGAGTCCTGGGGCACTCGCAGGAACACTTCTTTGCCCAAAGTCAAGGTGATTCTGGGAAGTAGCTACTAGTAGGCTCCTTGCTGTAAGAGTTTAATCCACTTACTTGGCTGAGCAGCTCTGCTTCTCCAGGTGTGTGTTACCAGCTCACAGCAAGAGTGGCCAGATGGCTGTTTGTGTCTGGGTTTTGTATAATCTGAGATGCAGCTGTATTTACCTGGTTAGATGCTCACCTCAGGAGCCTTGTCTTGGTATCCATTTCTCCTTGATTCCTAAGCTGGTTATCAGTAGTTAGTCGTGACAGTCATTGCTTGGAATGGACCCCAGTACCGTAAGAACTGGACTGGGATCACTGAACTAACCTTGCATAAGCCAGAAGCAGTCACAGGATATTCCAGGGGGTGTCCCAGTGAGGCTATGAGTGAGGCTCCGTGTAACCAACTTACAGCATCTCCCACATCATGCATGCTGTAAAGAGCCTGACTGCTGTCTGAAGTGAGGACCTTCTCTGGAGTTGCACTGCAGCAGTGAGGCAGTAACTGAGCAAGGACAGAGAGAAATAATTCTCCTTTGCTCAGATGAATAGTAATGGAAATAGGATTTCACTGGGTACATAAGAGAGAGATTTCTAATTAGGTCAGTCAAATTTCCTTACAGAAATCACACATATCCCATACTTTTTCTTCCCTCCCCCAGCTTGGTACATTCTTTCTCCTGTATAACATGCTGTTTGCATCCCAGTGCCAGCACCTCTGACTGGCTTCTCTGCTCATAACTGTACAGGAGACTAAGATGCTATATAAAGGAATGCCACATTGCGCTTTGTTTGGATAGTGACTAGAACTGTATTAATTCAGTGAAAGCAAACCTGAAACTCTGACCTTGCAAGGTTCTAAAGAACAAATAAAGACAGACTTGTATACTGGCAAGCAAGTTTTTGCATAGTATATTTAGGCTATTGTCCGAGCATGACAAGAGAACAATGTTATAAGCTGCTTTTAGAGAGTAGGTTTACACAAAGCTTTTGCTGGTCAGAATTTCCTGTTGCCCATTTGCAAGATGGAGAAAAAAAAAAAATCATGTAACTGCAGCAGCCGAAGACAGCTTTATCAGTTTTAGGTGGTGGCTGACCATTTGCCACCTCTAACCAGTGGTTGTGCTTCAAAGATGAAAATCAGGCAGAGATGAGTTGACTTTGGTATTTGGCTAGTCACACAGTTCCTGAATACTGATAGCCTTATGTATTGAGTTTGCTGTGGACTTGCAGAACAACTTGCTGGCATTGGTGCATTGCTCTTGATGCAGGAAAGTTGCATGGGGAGAAATAACCAACCAGGGAGAAAAGATTGGAAAGCTTTTTCAATGAGCAGCACAATCAGTTTGTAGCTGGGCTGATTCTTGCTTAGCTGTAGGGCTCCAAGTACTGTATCTCATCTTCCCTGTTTATGTACCACTTCATTTGTGCCTTGGAGATGAGCAGCACCCAAAGATGGCAGCAAATAGAAGGAGAGCAATAAAAACAAGACAGAAGATGCCAATCACCACTAGTCCTCCAAGAGCCCAGTCACTTGTTGCAATCAGTCTCTTTAGGTCTTCCAGAACTGAGGATCCCTCTTCTACTGATAACATGCTGGCTTCCACCCTGCTGGAGGTAGACAAGAACAATATCAGATGTTGGTATATCCTCTCTATGCTGAACCACAGTCCCGAAACCAGTGTAAGCATGCATGCTGTCTGTGCCTGCAGGCATCCCTCTTCCAAAAAGGAGAGTCATCCTTCACAGAAACGGGAGCATAAACCAGAAGAAAGGTAACTGAGGCCAGTTTCACAATCAGATCTACAGAGATGTAAAGAGAAAAGCTTCTGGTTTTATAAGATTTTGGCAGTTAAGATTTATTTTAATCATAGTTGATCAATATTTGTAATAATATAGTGTCTCTCCCAGTATGTTCAGTATGAACCCTTCGTCTCTGTCAACTGTACAGCCTATACATAAAAGACAAGTATTCATTGGGAGAACTTGCTTGATACCATTGGAAAGATCTCTAAAAAGGAGTTGGACACTTAAACTCTAAGATCGCACTGGAGATTAAATGAACACTTATTTAAAAACAAACAAAAAAACCCAACCAAAAAACCCAACCAACAATAAGTAAAGATTGTCATGTACAACTTGTCACTCTCATAGGGCTTAGAATAGTGTAGTTATGGAAAAAAAAAGCCTCCTGTTAACAGTTTGCTCTAGTAATACTTTCCGTTACTCTGAAATAGATGCACAAGTCTTCTTCCCATGAAGTACTTAGGTTCAGCAATAATTTAAACTAAGATCTCAGTGGGTTCTATGCACTGATACTTTGCATAATGACTTGGCTATCGGCTTTCTAAAGAACATCCAGCATCTCTTTGCAAGCATCTTGTGGTTTTACTAAAGCTTCCTTGCTTCTCAAGGGAAAGGATGGATTATTTCTCACACTTTCTCTCAAATATGACTGTGCGGACGTAACACAGGAAGACATCTTTGTTATTTTTGAAAATTTGTTTGACTTGCTGCCCCGTATATCTTTATCCTTAATATTGTAAGGAAGAGAATTAGTCATATGAAGTGTGTTTCATCCCCAGCAAGTCACATTTGACTAGGAGCACAAGCTCACACTTCAGCTTGCTGAAGTCTTTGTTTCTTTCTCAGCAGGCTAATATATTCAGTTCACACTTTGTTTTCTGAATGATGACAGATCACTATGCTCAGTGTCCCACCAACAGGTGTACAGGACATGAAGGCTGTTCTGGATAGCTTCCTTTGCCTTTAAAAAGGAGGCAGCCTAGATACCAGTTCAGTAGACCCAAAGACAGAAACCCTGCATGACTGTACACCCTAGAAAGTTCCTGTCTCACTGATAACCACAGTTAATCTCCAGAAATAGGAGAGCTGCATGCAATTTTATAAATACCTGAAGCTGTTGTGTTTCTAGTAGGCGTTTCTTCTGGTGCCTCCTCCTGCACCCACTCCAAGAGATCTTGGCTAGTGTTGAGGGACCCCCTTGCTGTAGCTGGAGACTTGTAGAGCTAGCATGGAAGTTGCCTGTACTGCAGTAAATGATTAACAGCTGACTTTCCTGCAAAGGTGTGTCTAATCTAATCAAAGGCCTTGAGCCTAGGTAAAAAGACCCAGTTCAGCTGTTGCTCAGACATTTCTTTGTCTCCATGACTTTATCCACTCATGTACCTGTTCCAGTGTTTGTAAAGGCCCACTGTGTCCTCTACTGAGGAAGGCTGCAGGTTGTGGTGGAGAGAAGAGGGCTTGGTTTCCTGGATCTGTATTGAAAGCTCTGTTAGGAGACTGCCATGTCTAAAATGAGATTGTGAACAAGGCTGCCCTCCAGTCCAAACTTCATTGTGACAGTTTAGGTGAATAAACTCATTACAGAGCTTTGCACTGCTGTTAGCTGCAATAAAACTGACTCCCTGCCACCTCCCTAAGTGAAGAAGACCAGAGGGATGATGCTGGAGAGATATGGGAGGGGAGGAGGAGAGTGTGGTGTGTGAGGCTGCATGTGTGTAAAAGGAAACTTGTTTTTCATGAGCCAAGCAAATCACTTTGAAACCAGAGGGATGATGTTACAGAATAGAAGCTATTCCATTAAGCCGTCAGTAAAACTTCAACCACTTCTGGAGAGGCTGGCCTCACTGTCTCTTTTAGGTTCCTCAGGGAAATAAACTATTTCAACACTTATATCATCAGGACTGAAGTAACTGCAATTCCTTCTAGGCTCACTCAGGCTTTCACAACATGTACAGAAGTTGCCGTGTACAAAGTAGCCTCGCTTTAGTCTGTGCTTTTCTGAATCTCCCTCTGCTTTTTGAAACAGAGAGGACCCATCCTCACTAGTGCTTAGGGCGTTCCAGGTCCCTTTATGTGGGCAATGATTGAAGCCAAAACCACAAAAGCTCGAGTGAGTGGTAAGCGGGGACCCAGAGATTCGCGTGTTTCTAGTCAACAGAAATTGAAGAGCCGCAGGAAGCTGGGGATTTGCTGGGCATCTTTCAGGCCAACCTGACCTGTTGCATTCAAGAATGCAGCAGACCCCACCCAGCCCAGCCAAGCAATTGGCAATATCTAAATGCCAAGTATAGGAAGAGTCCAGCTGAGTAAAATGGTATAAACAGAACGTTAGGCCTGTGAGGTCCAGGCAAGTATGTAGAAATCAGTCCAGGGACCCCTCCTCTACACGGTGACTGCTCCTCTGCTCCAAAAAGCCACCTGAATTCTTTAGAGAATTGCTTAATTTTCTCTCCTCTTTTTTTAACAGTGCTGTGTTTATTCTCTGCTTCTAATTCAAGAACTTAGAATGGCAGAGATAAGACAGGAGCATTTTTTCTTGTCCCCCTGCCTGGTATCTGTCAGTGGTTTAACTCGTAACACCACTGGGAAACATGTATTTGTAGCTTTTCCTGTTGAGATAAGGCCTGGCAGCTTGATCCCAGTGACAGTGACCTGTCAGTCGTTGGTATGTCTCCAGCCTGCTGTGCTTCCTCCTGACTGTTAGCACAGACTGGTTCCATGCTGCTGAAACGTTTCTCAATGGGATTCTGTTAATTCCTGTAGCTGGCACTGTCTAGCACAGGCTAGGAAATAAAGTAAGCTCTGTTCTTTCACAGGTCTCGTGACTTAACTCTAGATGCAGAAACATCTGTTGTGTCTGTCCCCTGCAAAAGAGAGGTTTTGAGACTTCCTATGTCCCCTTGATTGCCACTTGTTTGTAAGTGACATTAGCAAAGACATATCTGACAGAGAGGTTAGTGCGACGCATCTCTGAATATTGATTAAACTGATGCCACGCTTGACCTTATCCTACCCTGACATACTGGTTGGGAGCGAAAGGTTTGGGACAGTGTAACAAAAGTCAGTGCTTTGTTAGTCTTAGTGTAACTGTGCATGCAGGAGCTCATACTAGTGCAGTCTTCTGTTGGCAGTTGTCGAGTTGGGCTCAAATATTTACTTTCTAAGGAACATCCTCATCTTTTGCTAGGCAGTTTTTCTTTTTATTAATTTTAAAAGTAACATTGGTAGTTTGAGGATTTTTGGTTTTTTCTTAATTTTTACACTATCTGTGGTCGCTGGCTGCAGATATATTCCAATGTGCAGCAGTACAAAAATGGAAAATACCTACATCAAGTTTCTCTGCAAAAATTAAAGTGCATTAAATACACAAGAAGCTACTTATGTAATGTACTTTTTACTAATTTGGGTGAGGCAGCAGACAAAATGATTTCTTTATAAAATTTTCATTTTGTCCCTTCTGAAGTGTGAAGAATATTTAAAGGCCCACTTAAACTTGATGTTTCTTTTCTCTCTAGCCAGATGTTGGCTCTGGTATATATATATGTGTAATCCCTTTAACTCCTCTACACTTAGCAGTTGGAATACAAGGGTAGAAGATGACTTATCTATACGCATGTAACTTTTTATACCTTCTCATAAAGGTGGTTGGTTTCACATTTGGGGCTGAAAGAAAGACCAGTGACTTACAGTTAGGTGCAGCATGATGGGTCTTCCGTTTGGCTGCCCCTGTTTTGAAAGTCGTGGCTTGCACCATAGCCTTGTACGTACATCAGTCCCTTTCTGAAGTTCACCAAAATGTAAACCAAACGTACACAGTAGCTGAAGCATAGAAAAGGGATTTATTTGCACTTGTTATCTTCAGCCATACAGCCCCTTCTTGGCTCTGCTTTGTCACAATGCCTGCTGTCACCTGCTGCATGTGTACCCTGAGGTGATGGTTACCATACTGTCAGTCCTCTGAAATGCCTTTGCGTATGCTAATAATCATACCTTAGGCATAATTTTTATGTCCACTAAAATAAACTGCACACAGTGCAGGGAGTCAGACACACAGGTCCCTCAAGTAAGGATAAGGATTGTTCATCTCCTGCAACTCTCATGTTCTGTAAGAACTGTTCACCTGCAATAAACAGAAGCACAGAACCATACAGGGGGTGGAGAGGGAGCACGGTTAACAGCAGAATGGTCAAATTAAGTTGTAGAATTAGTTTTTCCCTTTTGCCTTCATCTTTCTGTTTAGAAAGTGTATTGCACATGATCTGATTTCTCTCTTTGGCAATTTCCCATCATTGTAACACTGATGAAATAAAGCAGGGAGTGTTTGTTACCAGCTGTACTCAGAGCCTCAGCTGGCACATCTGGATCAGAAGATCCACGATTTGTTGTTTTCAGCAGACATCTCAGCTAAACGTGCCTGTTGCAGGTGGTTTTTGAGAGTGCAGGTTTGGGCTTGGTCCAAGATGTACTGAGCATGTGGACCTCCCAGTGATGTCAGCGGGTTTTGCTAGCACCCAGCACAATCCTTCTGGATTAGCCACTTGTGAAGAGAGTAGGCGCTGCCTAGCACATGGCAGCATACGTGTTCTCTGCTTTGGTCTGTGGCTCCATGCTCACAAAGGGAATCCTTGGCTGGCCCAGCTGCAGGGCTCTCATCGGGAAAGCGTGTCTGTTTTCTCAGCAGTGTGTGTCCATGCACCTCCACCCCACCCCAAAAGAGGGAGACGGTGATGGTAAAGTAGCATTACCTTTCTAGTCACACCACGGAGCCCAGTAGTGGCTGTCACAAAAAGAAGGAATTCCATGCTGTGATTTCTGGTCCTCTGAGTCATATTAATTAATGTTGTTATTGCCATTTTCAGTGAGCTAGTGTAGAAAGTCATTCCCATAGGACTGAATCATGATGTCCATGCATATCCTTGATAGTATGTTGTGTCACCTGTTGTTGCACTTTATGAATGGGTAACTGGGCGGACCTGGATCTTCCTACGTCTGTGGTCAGGACGTCCATCACAGCTACAGCAGCTATAGCAGCAGCAACTGCAGGCAATGATCATGAGGACCAGAACAGTAACTGGAAAGAGAAGCAAAGGATATTGCTTCATGACATAGGAGCAATCACTGGAGAGTAACCCTATGTCTCCTCCACGTTGTTTGGTGAGCAGCAGATTGATCAAAACCTGGTTTCTTGTGGATTCCCACCTCCCTCCTTCTAAGTTCCTGCTCCTTTCTATTAGCTATCCATTTAATCTGGACAATCATTACCAGATATTTCATGATCTTAGGAGCTGTGTACCAAACCATGTGGGGGCATGTGTTTGCCTAGTGCACTGTTGTTTCAGAGATGACATGCAGTAACTAAGTAGAGCTGTGTTTCTGCAAAGGATGGAGATCCAACTCTCCCCATAGTTGTGTCAGGAGCAACTTGAGAGAACTTGGTTAGTCAAGCTAGCAGTTGCATTTCTGAAGAGTGCATGCAGTGTACCCTTTAATGAGGATAGATATTCATTACTGGGTTGGCTTTATTCTTTCTTCTGTATTTAGTTTGAGAAAATAGATACTTCAAACACAGGGTTTGTTTTGCAAAGCACTAGGCTAACTTACTGTTATTCTACTCTAGGCATAATGGTTGGTGTTGGGAGTTTATCTGGAATGGAAAAGGATGACATGTTTAATCCTGCAAAACACGTAAGAGTATGTGAATGTGCATGTGTGCGTGCATGTGTTCCATAAAAGTCTGGAGCTGGGCTGCCATGTTACTGGACCTGTGGGGAACCAGCTGTAGGTATGAAAAAAATAAAGCAGCAGGTGTGTCTTTCTGAATACCAGCCCAGGGAGGAGTGTCCAGGCTGGATACACACCCTTCCTTTTGGCTGGGAGCAAAGTGTACCTCTTTGAGGGGCAGGGCCTTCTTCCCTTCCTGCTTGTTTTCCCATTGTCTAAACAAACTTCATCCCCCTTTATCAAGCAGCTCTTTGTTATTCCTTCCATGCCATCCCCACATGGAGCAGCAGGAGGGATCTTGCCATTACCAGAGAGGATTACATAGGCTGACGTGAAGCATACTGGCTTCCACGGAACTAAGCACTGGAATGACACTCAGAGTCTCAGACTTTAAGTGTCTTCTGTGGCAGTGAGATGCCCTAATACCATTTGTCAGAAACTATCTCCTATGCATCAAAACATTGCAGCAGCTCTGGGCTGGTTAAAATACTGCAGTTTAAACTAGTGCTTAAATATGAGAGCTTTGGGGAAAGCTATACTGTTGCCTGTCAGCTCTGCATGCATGTAGAGATACACACAGAGTATTAAAAAATTACCTAGAAATTAAATTGGGCCTCAGAGCACAGCCTGGAAAACAATTGCCAACAACACCGACCCACCAACAAAGATTGTGGAGCAAGCTGCCCCTGTAGAAGAGAAGACACATTCTGACACCCCTTTACCTCCGCCGATAAACTCACCGATAAACAGAAGAACCACACAAAAGGACACAATCTCCACTGGGTCAGCCTTGGGCAGTTTCTGGAGTTTAAGGAGAAACTTCTCACCAATGGTTTGCATTTCCTTCAGAAAGCCTTCAGAAGACATTCTGGCTCAACCTCTCCAGGCTTTATGCTGTAGAAGAACCAAACAGAGAATAAACGTTTTCACTGACTAATGCTAGGAAGCTGCCAGCCTTCTTATAGAGCTAGTGATCACAAGGAAAACAAGTTTATCTGGTCTCAGTCCTTGTTCCCAGTAGCTAAGGTGGAGGACTATTAATTGTCTGTGTGTTCTGGCACTGTTTTAATTTCAAAATCTGGCTTTGAGGGTGCTTTTGTCAGCTGCGCTGTTGAGCAAAGGAAAAACAGTGTTTCTTCTAAAAGGACACTTCTTTCAGTAGGCATAGAGTTAGCACTGGATGGTGCCTGCCCTTGGCTTTCACCCAATGAAAGTAATTTATTTTTTTTTCCAGTTGTGCTAACTTGTCCTTCTAGGAAAAAAAATGCAATTCTAAATCAACTTGAATTTGAAATGCTGAACTCCAGAGGTTCATTGTTTTCAGTTGTTTTAACTGAGTAACACAAAGTAGACCCCCTTGAATATTTGTGCTTTAAGCTACAGAAAGTTTCTTCAAAAACTAAGGCACTTACTTCAACACCTCACTACAATACCATTAATAATGTTTTTCAACCAGTTTTACTGAATAGTGATATTAAGAGCTAAAGTCTGTGTTCCGTGGAGACAGCTGGATGCTTTTCAAGTTGGTAGAGATGACTTCAAGTTTTACATGGTAACTAAATGTAGCTTGCTTTCTTTTAAGCCACAGTCCGTTCTAATTGAGCAATATGTGAATTGAACAGTGGGTGTCCACCCATCCCTGCTGGTGGTGAGCAAAGCAAAAGCCCCTGGATCTGTCAGGGAGATACTTCCCTCGTGGAGCTAATCCCTCCTGCCCTGCTCAGTAATCTTACACCTTCTTTATTCTCAGAAAGAATGATCATCAGGAACTATTGTTACTGAAAATATTGTTGGTGTAGTCAAAGTTAGGTGCCTCAGTTTTGCCACCAATATTTGCTGTTCTCTTCCCCGGTGAGCAAAATTTTGGAAGGCATTGCAACAAGCAAGCTTGCATGAGAGCTATGGAAGTTCAAATTTTGCTTTTGTCAGTAACTGGAATAGGATATTGTTGAGAATTATCCATAGTTTTGCTTAAAACAAGTGTTTGGACAGGTGAACGTTTGGATGGATGGACTCTTATGTCATTATTATGTCAGAATGTACTAGCTTGCGTGTGTTGTAATAGTCAACACCATTTTATAGGACTTGAACATTGCAATTTAATATCCTGGTCTTGATGATAACACAAAGCCAAGTGACCAAGACAGTACTTCCAGAACAAGCCAGCAAGTTCATTACTGCACATCTGGTTTGGTTACTCAAACAAATGGATACTTGGAGTTCAGTTTTTCTAAACACACTGAGGACAGAGAGACCTTGGCTGTTTCTTTGCATGCTGGGCTTAAATACTACAGTGCCAAGTTAAATTACATTCTGTATGTTTATGCAATTCAAAAAGGGTTTTCTTTGTTCTTCTAAATCTAAGCTAAAGAATAAAAATCGGAACCAGCTGGTTTCCTGGGGTTGTGGGTGGATGGAATATCTACAGCTACAGAAAGATCTCTGTGCAACTTAGCAGGGAGGCATAGCTGTGGCCTTTTGACCTCAAAAGGTCACTTTTGAGACTAGGGTTAAATAGTTGTTTCTGGATGACTGCTGTACCCCAAGTGAGCTGCTCCAGAAATGGCTGCTTTATCCTTTGCACGGTTCTGTGGGAATCTGTGTCAGCAAGGTTCCAGTTTTGTTTCCATTCCAAGAGATGGCAGTGCAGGCAGAGGTGAAGTGATTTGTGTTTTCTGCTCTTGGGTCTAGAAGAAAAACTTAGTTTTAAAAAAAAAAAAGTATTTCTGGCTCTAACATTCTGAAAATATTTTTTCTCTTCGGGAGTGTTTCTGCCTGCCCAGAAGCTCTCCTAGCAAGGAATCTCCTGTACCTTTCGTACCATGCTTTGGGCTGCACCAGAAGCAGCAAGTATAAGACCTAGGCTTCTGAAGTTCGGGTATACAGTGTAAAATTACTGATTAGGATTGTAGAACTCCACATGGATTAGCAAAGTGCCTAGCCTAATATTATAAGAGCTTGTCGTCTCAGTAATGGGCATTCCTCTGCCCCGTGGTACCTGATCTGGAGCTAAGTGAAGGAGTTTTTATTCTAAAACTTGCAAGGAATGTTGCTTGTTTACCTTGGTTTGAACTTCTTCACAGCCAAAGTTTGATGTCGGTGGTGCAGTCTCCAGCCTACCCGTGAGAAAGCAAATGTTTTTCTGCTCGACTGCACTTCTGACTGCACACTGGTTCCAAGGGCTCTTGCTGCTTTGGGATTTCTGCTTGTGGAGCGTAGCAAAAGGGTGAAGAATAAATCACTTCTTTTTAAAAAAACAAAAAAGAAAAAAAGTAACCATCCCCCAAGAAAGCTAGTTATATTTGTGGACTTTTGTATCTTTCATTCTACTTGTGATGTCAAGTCTTTGGTCAGGACTAGTTTTGATTGTGATCTTTTTCCAATTGATTTCAGCAGAACCAAGATCTTACCCTAGAGATTAGCATAAGGGTAAGGATAGTGCTGTGTGACTTAAACAAGTTGTCTTATGCATCTGCCTTATCTTTCTTATGTACAACACAACAGTGATGACATTACTTAGAAATTTGAGTGGAGCTGTAAGAATGAATTCCTTTTTTTTTTTTAATTATATTGTGTCCAAGTAAGCTCCCAGTTACAAACAGTAGTAAAGGTCAGGTGGTGCAGGATATTTGGTTGAAGCAGTAACTGTAATGATTATTATTAAAATGGGCGAGTCTTGGGAGATTTGAAACTTAAGGTTGTAGGTCTTAACTGACAGTTTACTTTCTAAGACTGGAGCCTAGAACAGCCACCCAAGTTGGTACCTCACAGATTCTATGGGGTTTGGAGCAAACATAACTGTCTGCTGATGTTTTTCTCAATTGGGAATCTCTCCTTGCTCATTGTCCTTCCTCAAAACCACATCCACTGAGGATGGGAACCCTTCAGAGCAGAAGAGACATGGCTGTTAGGGCAGCAAAGCTGATGGAACTTGTTATGAAAGAAATGCTGAATAACCACAGTGCAACATAGTCTTCATAATGCATTGTCAGACTAATATCATGAACTTTTGCTCCACAGCTGTAGCTAGAGATCATATGAAGTGAAAATAGGGTGAAGAGAGGCAAGATGAGAAACTCACATAGAAAAGAAAGTGAACACAATGCTGATGTCTTGTGACAGGCAGTTTGGAAGTTCCTGCTGGGGTGGCAGCCTGAAATTCGTGGTTTCAGCTTTTTCCTCTGCTGGCCATTTTTTTAAAAAATAACTCATCTATCCAGTGTTGTCAGTGGGACTAGATAGTCAAATCTTTCTGCCCTCCTCTATGTTACAAGGCCTGGCAGGGGAGGGAATAAAATGGATTTTTTAATTTAGGTTTATTTGGTTTTTGAGGGGAAAAAAAGGACCGAATCTGCCATGAGTTGTTAACCTTGGTTGAAAAGAGAGCACAGTAGTAATGCAGGGGGATGCCTGACATCTGCAGGTGTGCTGCTCAACTGCAAGGATTAGCTGACCCTTTAAAACCAAAGCAGCATGTCCTACATTTAGGGCTTTTGTAGCTTTAGATTTCCAGAAAGTGCTAATACTTGTTTTTAATGCAGATTAATCTTGCTGTGCCCACTGAATAAGGCTGTGAAAATTGCCATAATAGCACTGAAATTATCTTTCTGAACTGTTTTAATGGACTCATGCCATACTGAAGCACTCAAAGAAGTTGGCTGCTCAGGCCTGTTGAGAATAAAGCTATTAAAAGGCCTCAATCTAGACATTCAAGAGAAAAGCCTCGGTCAGGGTTTCTTTGTACTGTGATCTGTGTGTGGTAGCTTCCAGGCTTCAAGCAGGAATAAGAGCTTTGGGATGACCATGTAAGTTGGGGTCCCACATCCCTCGTCCCACATCCCTCTGCCTTAAGCTAGTCAAGTTGCTGTAAGTATTTTAGAATTGATGTAAATTGATCAGGGTTTTTTGGTCTGTCTTTGGTTTGGAAAGCTGTATCTTACCTGTGTGTCTGCACAGGTGCATCAAAAGTTGAACCGTAGGGTAGGTGAGCTTAAAATTTACTGCTGAGGAATGAGGCACTTGTTTACTCATAACTCTGGTGGCATTTGAGCAGCCTATTTCAGTGCAAAGAACATGAATTTGAGTTTGTGGTTTAGCCTCAGGACTGGAAGTTAGGAAATGCAGGCAGTCTTCCTGGCCTGCCACTAATGCTTACTCGTTGTGTGACTCTGGATAAGTCATCCCATCCCTCTGTTGGGTGACTTCATCTCTGCAAAGCAGCAGAACATGTAACCACCATCAGAGGTTTGGTTGCTAATTGTTGTGTGTCTAAGTCTCTAATGTGCTCTGAAATCTTTACGTATAAAGACAGTAAGTCCCTGGTTTTGTTTCAGTTACAAAATGAAATGACCTTTGCTTGCTAACTGCTTGTTACACTTCAGTCACTGAGCCCATTTAGGATGAAAGTAGATGAAAATACAGCTTCCACTCTTGGTTGCTCCTTACCCAGCCGTGCTCCACAGGGTTTTATTTCTCTTGACATGACCTTGATCCTTGGTTTTACTGTAGTCCCTCTGAGAATGTTTGCTTCTGTGGGTTTGTTGCTATAGTAATCTAAAACTGGAGATGAAGCTTTGGAGGGGTGAATCTGTTGATGGTGCCCTGAAGCTGCCAATGCCTCAAGTTCTAATGCAGCAAGTCCCAGTGCAGGTGAGTTTGATGTCCTCCACTGTGCCCACTGCCTGTATCAGCAGTGCTCCAGAGACCTTACAAAGTAGGACCTCCCTGATGTGCCGAAGTGAGCAGAAAGTCAGGGCAACATTCTCATTGCAACGTTGTCTTTTTCCCAAGACTATGTCTGTGGAAGAAGCAAATATTTTGTGGTGTTCTTACACGGGCAAGTCAAGTAAGTTGGTTGAAATTGGACC